GGAAAAGTGGGTTATACTTTTGAAACAGAGTGTACCAGTATCGTTTTGATCAACTCTACTCTGGTATAGTCTAAGGCAATGCAGGAGGTGACTTGGAATAAAAAAGACTAAAGTTAATAATAAATAGAATAATAATAGATACGAATCATACTAAATTTAAAATATAAAAATACAAACAATCTCCTGTAAACACAGGGCTTCGATATCTGCGGATTTTTCCTCATTTTGTGGTTTTTTGATAAGGCGATGAGGATTATTTTTAAAAATGCGGATTTGCGGATTTTTGTGGCCTTTTGAAGATTATGAGGATTTTTTATATTTTCTTGTAGTTTTTAGGATAAAATGTCTTTTTTTTCTCTTAAGGCCTTCAAAAATCCTCAAAATTTTCGCCTGCGGCGCAGAAAAGGGAAGAAATATGGCGTCTTGGTCTTCAAAATCCTCAAAATTTTCGCTTGCGGCGCAGAAAAGGACGATTTTTAGCTTAAGGATATTCAAAATTCAAAAAATTTTCGACTGCGGCGCTGAAAAAAGAAGATTTTGGCTTCTTGGTCTTCATAAATCCGCAAAATTTTCGCCTGCGGCGCAAAAAAAGAAGATTTTTCCAGTAAGAAGATTTTTCCAGTTTTTCCAGTAACTACAACTAGGGACGGTGAAAGCATTGACTCAAGTCAACTGTAATTTTTCATTTAATTGTCCAATAGTCATTAGTAGATAGTCATTAGTAGTGAAAAAACTGCTCAATTCAATTGTTGGAGTCAAAAAATATAACGCATTTAGTGATTTAATTCAATTTTTGTGTTTGATAATTTTTTGCGGATTTTTCATTTAAAATGCGGATTTTTTCGATCGAAATTGCGGATTTTTAAAAATTCGAGATCGAAGCCCTGTGTAAACATTCCATCAGTCAATTCAAGTTGGAATTCTTTTATGACGAAAATATAAAGCAAAATTAAAATTAAATTTTTTATTTTTTAATTTTTTAGGCTAATGTAAAATAAAATGATGTGAAGAGGTAAACAAAAATTATTGGCATGACATATACCAGACATGTGCAACATACGGATAATATCCGGATATTCGCGGATATGTCCGTATTCGGATGGATATTCGAAATTATAGGTACTCATAGAGAAAATCTCCAAATCACTCAATATCTTTAGGTCACAAAATCCTGAACACAACCTCTCTTTTTCCATAATTAACTGACCTAGTAAACTACCTGTCACTATCATAAGGAGCAAAGAAGTAAAATGCTCCAGTTTGTGCCCATTAATGAAACGCCTTTCTTGAAGCAACTTCATTTTTTTGATAAACAAACTTTTTTCTTAACCCGCCCATCCCTGCTGTTAGTAAATCTAAATTGAGGTTAGTAAATGTAAGTAAATGTTTAGTAAATGTATACTAGGTTGTAAGGAAAGAATGAACACTAAAAAACAACAAATGAACATAGAAAAAGCAACCAACAACTGAACATAGAAAAGCAATTGAGAAAAGAGTTTATAGGAATGGTTTATATAAGGAAATTTTATCTCTTTAATCTTAGGAATTGTTGGGAAAAATATTTTTTATAAACGACCGGAAAGGAAATTAAGTATAACTAATTTGGAAAAAATTCGCAGCGCGACATAGGATCCTATTTCACGATTTTTTGGACCTAAAAAACCGCTCTAGTTATTACGGTACAAAAACCGGTACGGTAGTAAATTCCGATCACTACATTAAACTTCTGGTATAAGTTTATCCTCCATTGCCCTATAAAAATATATACAAAACGATAAAATGTTCAGAAGGAAGAAAACCTTAAATACATGTAAAAAGTAGGCGGGCAAAGGCGTTTATACTATGCCAAATTTCACAAGAATTCACATAAATGATGTTTGTATGCTAATCACATTTTTTTATTATTTTTTAAAAAATATTTAAAAAATCAAATCAATAAATATTGTACTCGTTATTTAAAGAAATCGGGAATCCGTTAACAATTTTAACAGATTGATAGAGAACTTTGGATGTTTAGTAACAGCCATTTTGTTCGCCTATATTTTTTTAATCATTACATTCCAAATTGTTTTCACTGACCAAATTGTTTTCTCCGGATTTCAATGTGCTTTATCACAGAAATAATGATGCTGAAGCATCAAGAATAAAATATGTTGCTGCAGATCAAGCATTTAGAGTAGCTGCAAATACCCTTGGAATTAAACTTTTTATTGACGGAATTTATCTTTTTAACTTATACTTACTTATAGCGTTCACTTTCTCATTGTTGACATAAATTGTAAAATACATAAAAAAGAGGCCAGCAAAATCGTTCACAATTAACCAAATCTTGACAAAAATCACTCACAATAATTCACATGAATGGAATTTGCGTGACTAATCACATTTTTATTTATTAATTTTTACAAAATTATTATGAAAATTAAATAAATATTGTACCCTATACAGAATTAGGCAAATCTTTTTAATATACATATACCGTATATTAATGCCCAATAACGTTAAGGTAAAATTTTTTATTTTTTCAAAGGACAAATATGGAATTTTTATTTTATTTTTGCTGGCCTCTTTTTTATGTATTTTTACAATCTGCAGCAACATATTTTATTCTTGATGCTTCAGCATCATTATTTCTGTGATAAAGCACATTGAAATCCGGGGAAAACAATTTGGTCAGTGAAAACAATTTGGAATGTAATGATTAAAAACTTCAGAAGCGATCTAAACGGTCATTTTTGTGGACATTTAGGCGTTTTTTGTTGATGCGAAAGTTTACCCACCTGTATCTCGCTAATGGATTTTTTCTGAAAAATAAGGCAAATGCTATCTTGTAGCAAATTTCAAGGGCTTTCAGATAGGCTAAAAATAAAATTTCAAAACTACCCTTAATGTGTCGAAAATATTTTTTAAATAGACTTACCCCCGTTTTCGTTGATTTTCGAGATTTTAGAGGTAAATACAAAATCTCATAAAGATAACTTGATTAAGCAACGAAAAATGTAAAAAAATTAAAGTGGGTTATACTTTTGAAACAGAGTGTATTTAATTAAACTTTTTGATATTAGGCAAATAATTTCACAAGTTAAAAAAATTTAAACTAATAACCTTTTTGCAAAAAAAAAACTTTTTTATCCAAAATTAAATAATGTAAATAAATCCCACAAAATAAATCCCAAATATCCATAAAAACTGGACGTTTTGTTTAAATATAATAAAATATTTTAAAAATACACAGAGTTGCCGTCATATTTTAATTTCTTTTAAATTTTTTTTTCAGGAAAATTAAGGTCCTAATTAGAAAATTTATTTTTAACTATATTAATAATAAATAATAATTGTATCATTTACTATCATTTAATCCTCAAAATATTATTTTAGATGTAAGACGGCAACTTTGTTATCAAAATAAATGTTTTTAAATCAAATTTAAAAAAATTAGAATATAAAATTCCCAATTTAAATAAATCCTACAAAATAAATCCTCAATCAAATTTAAAAATCTTTAGAAACCCCAAAAAATCCCAACAATCTTCTTCATCCTCAGAGCTGTTTCGATAGTTACGCTTTCTATTTTTGAATTTTTAATTTAATTTTTCGGTTAATTTTGGTTTGGATATCGGATCCGAATTTAGATATCCGCGATTTCGCAGGATTCCCAGGTCCCTTGCATTTTTAATTCCTAAGATTTCAAGCAAAAGTTTCAACAACAAAGGGACCTTTTTATTTTCGAAGGATTTTTCTCTCTCGAATCAGCTCTGTTTATCATAAATAACTCATTAATTTTTTTACGTGAATAAATGTTTTTAATAAACGGGTAACCCTTAACTAACTTCAGAACAGTTAAGTCCCATCTAGGGTTGTCGGCTCCTGGAAATTCTTCGAATATCCGAAACCAAATCGAAGAACCGAACCGAAAAATCCTCGGTTTTTCGTTTCGGCCCAGAACCGTCAACCCTAGTCCCAGCCTCTATAACTTATGCAGCAATGGTCACTTCTTAATGTTCTTGGTACCAATATATAAAGAATTAAATACATTACAAGAATTCATTAAACACATAGGTAATTCATGATTGAGCGTTAGAAATGTTATAATTGATAAAATTCCGAAAAATCAGACTTTTTGAAAAATTTAGTTTTTAATCATAACTTTTTTTTATCAATCAGTCAAGAATTATGATTTTTTGTTATCTTGTAGTGTATTTAATTCTCTATACATTGTTATCAAGAAGATCAAAAATTATCCACCGCTTCTTAGGTTTTAGGGCCGGGGCTCTGTTGAACTGCTCTATAAAGGTGTAAAAATAAATAAATCCCCATAAAATTTTAAAAAATCCCCAAAAAAACCCAAAAACTAAAAAATCCCAAAAACTAAAAAAATCTCAAATCCCCAAAAAAATCCCCAAAAATCCCAACAATCTCTTCTTCATCACCCAATCATTCCCCAATATATTCTTCAATCTTTCCAATAAAAATGCTTTTTATCCATGGATTGTCGTTGTCGTAGAAATCATCCAGTACTTTAGTTCTCAATTTGTTTACAGCGACTTGATAAACATTTTGATTAATACTGCTAAAATAAATGTTTTTTATTTAAATATTTAATTAAATTATTTAAGTTTACCTTTCCCCAATTATACTATCAAGAGCATTTCCAATTTGTTCATTAAAATTCTGGTTTGGTATTACTAATATGCCAATATTTAGGTGTTCAACGAGGGAAGAAAGATAAAACTGATCACCCCCGTCCGGGATACAAATCAAAGGAACACCGGCATAGACTGACTAAAATATTAATTTTATTTTAAATATTCCGTATAAAATAATAAACAGATCAATATTGTAAAGCATATTAAGGCCGGGCATTAGGTTCGCGATTCAAAGAGACCGGTATAATACCGCCCGATACCGGTCGGGATTCCAATACCGTTGAACCCTAAAAAAAGCAGCCATCGATATGATTGTTTGAATTTAGATGTTCATTAAATTGAGTTTTGATATTATTAAGTTACCTCAGTCAAGCTATTTATTCCACAATGGGAAATGAATAATTTTGTATTTACTTTAGCTGAAACATAAAATAAATTAAAATCTGCATTAAAAATTATATAATTACCCAATATTTCTTGTTGATCATCAACAAATCCTTCAAAAGAAATATTTGTAACAAGATAATGTTCTTGTAAATAATGATCTGCACCCAATCTGACTTTGAAAAAACAATGCTCGTAATTTGTAAAATTGTTAAGCATTATTTTAAGATTATCCTGATTCATCCCTTCAATGTTTATTGTACCAAAGGAGACATAGACAACACAATTAAACTTTAAAAAGTATTTATGAAACATCTTTTGAGAATAATTTCATTAAATTAATTTACTGTCAAATCTCCAGATTTAAATGTGTTTATTCTATTGAACTTTGCCGAAAGTTTAATAAATAACTTTTGGGTAGAGTTGGTCACGGTACCGTATTACCGCGGTATTTTTCAGTAATACCGCGGTATTTTTACCGAAATACCGATAGCGAATACGGTACCGAACAATTATAAAAAAATCGGTATTTTTTCGGTATCGGTATTTTACCGAAAATACCGATACCGAAAAATCGCGTTTGACCAACACTACTTTTGGGTCACCCTGTATAAGGTCTCTTTATTTCCGACATAGTAAGGAGTAGAGAGATGTCCAAGAACTTGGTCTTGAGTCTTGATTCCAAGACTTTTCTTGGGTTTTTTTGGTCTTGGTCTTGATCTTGGGGTCTAATCTTGTCTTGAGTCTTGAATCTTAGAAAATTTTCGGTCTTGGGCATCTCTAGTAAGGGAGCATTTCTATTTATTAAATGAGTTATCCATAAATTGAAAATTTATTCTATTAGAATTGTCATAATTAAGTTTAATTATTAACCGCCCATTTTGCATGGCCCATAAAAGGCGAGCGAGAATCGGCCAAACAAGTTCATTCGCCCAATCTCAATTCCGACCAAAAGTTGGCCGGTTCTTCCTCCCTTATATTTTATATTTGTTGAATAAAAAGTTAAAAAGAAAGCTTTCCTTTTAATTGGTGGTTCGACGCGCCCCAAGAGTGGGTTTTCCACTCTTGGGGCCCAACGTCGACTAGTTCTTGTCAAGAGAACTAGGATATATAATATGGTGCTCCTCTCCTAACTATCACCACCTAGTTAATCAACAATACATCTATTCCAACTCCCCAACCTTTATTTAAAAAATTTTTATTTCTCCACCAAAAATTCTCTCCAAAAATACTTTATTTAAAAAAATATTTTTTTCTTCTACTCATCAATCAAAAATACTGATTTTGGCGAAGCGGTTAAAAAATGGTTAAACTAGTCCTGTTTCTTTTCACATTAGTGTGACTGAAAATTTGGGCGGAAATGGGCATTAATTAATTTAAAAAATGGGAAAGAAAAAATTTGGGCGTAAATATATCAAAAATGGGAGGAAACGCCTAATTTTGGGGGTGTCAATCAAACCGAAAATATTACAACCCGCAACTTTTTGCGAAGGAAAAATGTTTATATAAAGATGCGGTTGTAAACATATTGGGGCATTCATTCTGGGGTAAACTAACAAGAAGAAGAATAAAAAGGGGTTCAACTATAAAGAAGAAAAGAAGGACTTGAAGAAGAAAAATTGGGCAAACTTTCTGGGGTAACAACGAAGTATAAAGAAGATTTGGGGTACTTCTCTGGGGATAAAAGAAGAATCACAAGGCTGGAAGAATTAAGAAGTGGGGAAACTTCCTTGGGAAAAAGAAGAATCGCAAGGGCCTAAAGAACAAGAAGAATTTTGTGGAAGAAAAATCTGGGGAAAGCTTCAAACTTCAGGGGGATAAAGAAGAAGAAAAATTGGGTTTTCTGAATATCGGGGGAAACTTTTGAATTTTCTGAGGATTGGCTCGAAACAAAATTTTCGGTTAAGAAGTTGGGGGAATTTAAAAACGAACAATCTTTGGGAGAGGAAAGAATAGACGATTGACTTTTCTGAAGAAGGAAATTAGTTTCTGGGCAATCTTTGGGAAAATTTTTCAAAGGAGATTGGGGATATTCTGAGGCTTTCAAAGAAAGAAGAGGGGTTGTAAAGTTGCAGTGGGGATTTTCTGAAGTCTAACTATTCTCGGAGGGCCATTGGACGATAAGAAAGAGAATTTGGGATCTTTCTGAGGGAAGCTGCTTACCGGAAGGCAGCTTAGTTCTTTAATTTTCACATCCAGCCTTGATTTAAATTAATACGTGCACGTCTATAAAAGATTAATTTGGCCGAAAATAAGAAATAAAAATAAAAAACAAGCTCGAATCTCTTCGCAACAGACTAGTAGAGGCACTGCAGGGCCACCTATTAGTTCCCCAAACGTGGGCAAACTTTAGCTAAAAAGAAAAGGATAAAATATTAAGTGTTGTGAAAATTTGAGCAATAATTAAAATTGGAAAGGAATTTTTAAAAGAGCTGTATTGGAAATCATTGAACGACCAAAATGAAAGATGAAAACTTAGAACTTGGAAAATATGAAGGGGGAAATTTAGAAGGGAACAATAATTCAATCGGTTCCAGTTGTTTACCCTATCCGAGATTCTATAATGGCACAGAGGACTTCACTGCCTATTTAAAAGACTTCAACCGCATTGCAACAGCTCACAATTGGACTCCCCCAAGATGTGCTCAGATATTACCACTTTACCTTCGTGGGGCCGCCCTTGCAATTTATGAGTCGATCCCTGGGGAGGAAAAAGCTAATTGGAAGTCCTTACTAGAAGGGTTGGTTAAAAGGCTAAAAAAGACGTCAAATAAAGAAACCGCTCGCTTAAAATTGGCTGAAAGGAAGCAAGAAGTGGGGGAATCAATTGATGAATTTTCACGAGATTTGAAGGATTTGGCAGAGGCGGCTTATCCTGGGGGCTCTTTTGAAATGGACTTATCTTTCCTTAAACTAAGTGATGAGCAGAAGACGGGGTTGAAAAATGAAAATGAAAAAATGGCCAAAAGGTTTAGGGAGGAAATTTGTGCAGAAAGATTTAAAGCCGGGTTGCTGCCTGAAATAAGGGAAAAAGTTATTTTTATGAAATCGCCCTCTACTTTGGCAGAAGCAGTGACACAAGCAAAAAGGGTTGAAGAGTTAAATGGTAGAGTTAAAGCTGATGCTAGAAAAAGATGGGATGAAATAGAGGTGAAGGAAGCCCAAGCAGAAGTCAATCAAGTTTGGGAAATAAATGGGGATGAGAATGAAAACTGGGATGATGAACAAGTTGAACCAAATCTTTGCCCTTACTATGGGGATGAATATTATGAAAATGACCCATATTATGATGAATGCCAATGGTTGCCACAGGGAAATAATGAGACTTGGGAAAATGACGATGATCAATGTTATTATGATGAAAATTTTACGGGGAACTATGATAATCAAGAGTGGGCCACTGATGAAACAAATTTTGACGAATACTAAAAAAAAAAAAAAATAAACATTTACAAAGGAGAGGCTTGACGGGATTAATTTTATTCTTTGCGCTATAATTATTTTTTTGCCCCCCCCCCCCCAGGAGAGGAAGAAAAGTGGATTTTGGCATTTTTTACTCAATCTGGGGATATTTCTCTGGACTGCCACTCTGTTGATATACAATTTTTTCTGTTTTGACAAAAATTTTCTCACCGCCATATTGTTCGCTTGCCGATTTATACGAATGCAAGAATGGGATAAATTGAAATAACATTTTGCTGACTGGATTTGGCTTTAAAGAATGGTAAAGAATTGGAGAGGAGAGACAAATTCAGAAAGAAAAGATATAAACAAAAAATTTAAAAAAATCGTGATAACATTTTTAACTTTTTTTTGCCATATCCGCTTCTCCTGTTGTACCCCCACCCCCCACGTATAGAATGTCATAATTAAGTTTAATTATTAACCGCCCATTTTGCATGGCCCATAAAAGGCGAGCGAGAATCGGCCAAACAAGTTCATTCGCCCAATCTCAATTCCGACCAAAAGTTGGCCGGTTCTTCCTCCCTTATATTTTATATTTGTTGAATAAAAAGTTAAAAAGAAAGCTTTCCTTTTAATTGGTGGTTCGACGCGCCCCAAGAGTGGGTTTTCCACTCTTGGGGCCCAACGTCGACTAGTTCTTGTCAAGAGAACTAGGATATATAATAAGAATATTAAAAATTAGTTTTACCTCTCCGCGTTCATTTTTTTTATTTCTATTAGTTAGAGTTTTTTTCTCCTCAACAAGAATTCCACCAATATAAATAATTTTATCGTGTTGTGGAAATTGTTTAAAATTAACAAATTTGTGTTGATTCATAAAATGATATTTAATTTTTTTAAATAATTTAACCAAGTCTGGTATTTGATTCTCTTTAATAATCCCTTCATACTTGACTAACTCCTTGTAGTTGTAATCAGAGGATTTTGTTAATCTACGCAAATCCTGTCGATTTACATTTTCATAAATTGTACTATATTTTATTTTAGCATCACGAGTCATTCTGCCATGAATCCATTCTGCTGGGACAACATTTTTAAAATCTTTAAAATTAATACTATCATTCAGGTATCTGAGGATATGGAATTTTGAAAATAACAACGGATAAGTTTTGTGTATATCCACAAAATATCCGTAAAATCCGCCAATTTATTGAGAAAATTAACTCAATAAAGTAGAGGCAACTAAGAATCCTGATCCTGACTCTCGACTTGTTAGTTTTTCAGATCTTAGTCGTTAGTTGATTCATAAGAATATCCTATATTTTTGGATATTAATGGCCAAAACTGAGATTTTATTTAAAGATTAGGAAACTAAAGAATCAAACGATTATCAAACTATACTAATAAAGTCCGTTAAGAAATTATAAGACCCCCCTATTTTTTGCTGTTAATCATATATCAAACAGGCTAAATGAAGCAAAATTTTTATACATGGTAGATATTAGAGTTGTCCGAGACCGAAATTTTTCCAAGACTCAAGACTCAAGACCCAAGACAAAATTTTTTCCAAGACCAAGACCAAAACTCCAAGACTCAAGACCAAAAATCAAGACCAAATTTTTATATCCCATAGGTCAAATTTTTGGTTTATTTTTTGTTATTTTGATACGATCAGTCAACTTCAGCACAATTATCTATAATTTCGAAAAATTTATGCGAAATTCAAAGAATTTCGGGGAATTTATTCGTGTGGAAAATCAATAAAATAGGTTATTATTTCAGAGGATTCGAAATCGACCCCCTGGCTACGCCCTTGGATTAAGGAGGATATCGAGGTTTAAAGGGGAATTTAAGTGGATCTTTTTGCGCGCATGCGAAAATTTGTACAATTTTGGAAGGCCAAGAAGCCAGAATTCTTCATTTTCCAGCGCCGGCGAAAATTTTGGGAATTATGAAGGCCGAGAAGCCAAAAATCTTCCTTTTCCTGCGCCGCAGGCAAAAATTTTGAGAATTTTGGAAGGCCGTATGCCACAAAAATTCACTTTTTCAGCGCCGCAGGCGAAAATTTTTTGAATTTTGGGACTCAAGAAGCCAGATTTCTTCCATTTTCTGCGCCGCAGGCGAAAATTTTGAGGATTTTGGATGGCCAAGCACTAGGTCCAAAAAGGCCAAAAAACCAAGACCAAAAAATAAAACCAAGACAAGACCAAGACAAACACCCCAAGACCAAGACCAAGACCAAGACCGAAAAAAAACCAAGAAAAGTCTTGGTTCCAAGACCAAGACCAAGAGTCTCGGACATCTCTAGTAGATATCAGGTAAATATAAGGATAGAGAAAGTTTCGAAGAGATTACTTTCGTTTCAAATTTTTTACGGTTTTTTTTTAAAAATTGAGCGTTAAGAAATTATAAGACCCCTTTGGATTCTTGTACTAGAAATGTTAGAAAAATTCTACAAAAATTCCTGTGAAGAATTCATCAATATAGAGTAGAAAAGCAAAAAGAACGAAGTCTGTAAATACTTCATTAAGATCTCAAAACTCCAAAATCAACGGAAAACGGGGTTACAGTACTTCAAAAAATATTTTGACCCCCTTATTTATAACCATATTTTGACCCCCTTTCTCTATCCTTATATTTACCTGATATCTACAATTTATAAAAATTTTGCTTCATTTAGCCTGTTTGATATATGATTAACAGCAAAAAATAGGGGGGTCTTATAATTTCTTAACGGGCTTTAGTAACCTCTTTTTTCCCAAAATTTTTTTCTAAATTTTAATAATCATTTATAACCGGGAATTTCAAGCCGAGTAACATCTATCGAATTTCCGTTAATTTCAAGAAATTGGAGATATCCTGGAAAGAACACTGAAGCAGATACATCAAAAGTATTTTGAATCCCTAAAACATCAAAGACAGCAAAAGGTCCGGCTGAGTCACTGAAATCAGCAATTCCAGCAGAATAATTTTGTTGTTTAAGCCAGTTTAAATGTTGATCATTTGTAATTATTTCTTTAATAATAAAATACTTTCATTTATATATTTAAGGAAAATCTTTCATTTCGAGGGGCTGGAACCAAAAAATAACCCTTAAAAATTATGGAACTCTAAGTCAGTCAGAAACGAATCCTCCGCCAAATCTCCATGCATAAACAAAATACCATAATAAATTCCAACATGGAAATATTTATCATCCATTCTATAAGATTGATATGCATATTCTAGTCCATATTTCTCAATATAACTTTGATTTAATCTGTTTTTATTTATTGGTAAATAAAAAACTTCAAAAATATGCGGTGGAACTTCTAACCCGTTTTCTTTACTATGAACAAGCATATGCTGAAAAGAAAAATTTTAATAACAACATAGAAATGTAATCCAAATTATTCTGATTGATATAAAATCTGGTCTTTTTTACATAAACTAAAACCAATTTTCAACGCATATTCTGATGTATTTTGGGCTTTTTTGAAGATTTTCTTAGAATTTGACTTGTTAATCAAATTAATTCTAATTTTATATAATAAACTTATAACTGTGTAATTATTGTTTCAAAACGCGGAAGGGGTAATTAAGAGAACAATTATTAAAAACAAATATTTTATAGTACCTAATTTCTAGAAAGCGGATTTTTATGCAATTATAATGAGAAAAATTCTATTTATCTTACCACAGTATATTTTTCTGATAGAATATTGGCCAACAATGTCTGAAAATATTTAAATAGGTCAAATAAAGTATTTTATTATATTTATTCAGCAATATTCGAGGAGAGCAGGGTTGCGTCGTAATTGAAAATTTTTTTTTCGTAATCGTAATTTGTAGTGATGTTCGAGAGTCAAAAAATCCCGAGAGTCGAGAGTCGAGACCGAGAATCAACCCCGAGACCGAGACCAAAACGAGAGTCGAGAGTCGAGACCGAGAGTCGAGACCGAGAGATTAAGAGGGATATCACTTGATGTCCCTCCTAATCCCCAAAAATCCCTTGATATACCTCAAAATCCCCATACTCGCTTGAATCCACTTGTCCACAATATATATTCAATGATATTCACATTAATCTCTTAAAATCCCCTCATATCCTTCCATATCCCTACAAATCCAACAATATCTTTTTGATCCATCGATGCACCCATCCCTTGATATTAAATTTTATCCTTCAGAATCCACAGTATCTAATATACCACAAACCACAAAATCTAATCCTTTAATCTTATTAAATTCAAATTTTTGCTGCATTTTTGGCGCCGCAGGCGAAAATTTTTTGAATTTTGGAGCTCAAGAAGCCAAATTTCCTCCATTTTCAGCGCCGCAGGCGAAAATTTTGAGAATTTTGGAGCTCAAGAAGCCAGATTTCTTCCATTTTTCAGCGCCGCAGGCAAAATTTTGGGAATTTTGGAGACTTTTCCTTAAAAATTTTAATATCAAAGTACGCAAGGTCCGAGTAAAGTTCAAAAAATTTCCGTCATTAGGGGTGTAAATTTAGTCTCGTTTTCCGAGACCAAAACACCGAGACCGAGAGCTCAAAAAACCCGAGAAATTTCTCGACTCGAGAGTCGAGACCGAGAGTCTCGAACATCACTAGTAATTTGTAACTCAAAAAATGCCGTAATTCGTAATTTTTAAAAAGTACACCCTGCCCCGGAAGCATTCCTTCCCCTCATACAATTTTGATATAAAATTTACATTGAATTTCAAGTGAGAGTAGAAATAGTTGTCACAAATAAACAAAATTTTCTTTTTTCCTTCTTCATGAGCACCTCCTGAACTTTCTCCAAAATAGCTTTCAGTATAACCTCCTCCAAATTCTGACACATTGGATGTTACACCTTGGCTCGGTTCTCCATAATCGTGTTCTCCATATCCTCCACGTTCTCCTGGAAATATTTCACCGAATCCTCCTTGAGTCCCTTCTCCATGACTTTGCCCTCCAGTTCCTTCTGATTCAGAACCCTCACTTATACTTCCAGAACTTCTAGTTCCTCCATGACCGCTGCCTTCAGAATGTTCACTTATAGAACCTCCACCTCCCTTTAAGCAACTGCATCCGCTACCTCTTTTAAATCGACGTCTGTACAAACCTTTCCCTCCATTTTTAGGGCATTTACAATTTCTCTCAATGGAAATGTTGACAAAAATTAATAAAAATAAAATCCAAAAAATTAATTTTAAATACATTTTTGTCTTAAATTTCAATTTTAAATTAAATTAAAATTTATTTTTAAATGATAAAACCCGGTCACTGGCGAATTGTTCATGCCATCAACGCAAAAGTGAAGCAAAGAAAGTTTTAAAAAACATAACCTTATGTTTATGGGCTCAAAAAATAAAAAACTCAT